AGGCTCCGGCTTCGAGATTCTGGTGTCTTTAGCCCTAGACAAAAGATGCTGTAGCGGGATAGCTGGAGGGTTGAGGGTTCAGGGTTCAGGGTTCATTATCAGGCAAAGGGAGCGATGAGAGGAATCGGGGAGCGTGTTGCGACCTGCTCTGCCAAGCCAGTAAGTCACAGAGCTTCGCGCCGTCGAGTTGCAAGCACTTGCAATCCCTGGCATCCTGCATTGACGCTCGTGGTCACATAAGCCCTACCTATAGTCTCCATTGTAGTTCTTTTGTTTGGTTTAACCAATTCTATATTAAGGATCCCAAAAGGTAACCCCAAAAAGGAACTACAATGGAGACTATAGGTAAACTGTAAACCTCCAGATACAGTGAAGGAAGCCGAAGGTTCTGAGTACTCATGGCCGCAGAGCTTAAACCCAAACAGAACCTAACTTCCTTCCGTACCAGACTGCTCAACCCCGAACACTTCCAGCTCTGAAAACTAAGACCTGAACTTATATGGTTTAGGGTTTAGGCGTTACGCTTGTTTGGGCTAGGGTCCTGTCCAAGATCGATTCTAGAGCTGCAAGACACAGAAAAGAACACTTAAGACCCAGAAATCCATCAAATCCCTGCAGCACCCTTATGCAATCCCTATTAACACCATCATAGAGTCCTTTTATGGAACATTATGGAGCCGTTGTTGCAACCCGGAAAGCCCGCGTGTGCTGCTAGTGTGAACTGAGGATCCAGACACAGGCTGCCGCGCACTGCAGGGCCCCAGAGCGCCCAAGACCCTACTTCAAGAATATTCCCCGAATCAAAATATTAAGCACCCGAAACTGGTAACCTAGGCCCGAAATTAGAATTCCTTATCAGCCCTGAACCAACAAATAGTATTCCCTAAATCCTAAGCTTAAATTAGTATTCCGAAACCCCCAACCCCTAAGCCCTAACCAAGTTTTCCCCTAACCCAGAGTCCTAAACTACTAAATTAGTGCGTATGCCCTATACACCCTAAACCCAAAACTAATTTTCCCTTAGTCAGTCTTCTTCTAGAAGAAATTCGTGGGTGCTTTGTGTCTGCTTAGTCAGAGACTGCAAGAGGTCGTAGGGGCCTTAGGTGTGTGGGGTGCAGGCTAAGGAGGGGTTCGAGTTGAGGCTTTCGGATTCAGAGTTTAGGGTTAGGGGTTTAGGGTTTAGTGTTCTGAGATTAGGCTTTCGAAGTAGTTTAGGTTTCGGAGTATACCAGGATATCCCAAGGGTCCTTTAATAGAGCACTTATGGCCCTGAAATAGTGCGTATTAGAGGGTAGTTGGGGGGTCTAGTAATCTGGTATAGGTTTAGGGTGTACTATTAGGCTTTCGGGCTTAGTATAGGTTTAGGGTTTAGCACTTCCGGTTTGGGGCATAGTATAGGTTATTGAGAGGGCTTTCGTAAAGCCCTTGAGGTTGTATTTCGGGGAATTTGTGTGTCGTCAGCTTCCATCTTTTGCAGCGTGGTTCCTGCAGGTGTTAGGTTAGGTTAGGGTTTAGGGTTTAGGGTTTAGGGGGTTCAGGGTTGAGGATTTTCGTTCAGGGTGCTTAGGTTCTTGGATAGCCATCATGTCTTCGGGGTGTTGCCCTCAACGGCACCCCAGACTCCCAACACCCTAAACCCCAAGTCCTAAACGCTAACCTCTAAACCCTAAATCCATCTAAACTCTACCTAGGCCCTCGAACTACCCTCTAGTATATCCGCAAACACCCCTTAACCCTAAACCCTACCTTCTATACCCCAAACACCCGCTGTTCAGGACCATAAAGGGCCCTGTTAAAGGGCCCTTGGGGTCCCTGGTAAGTCCTCAACTCTGGGTCTGTTTTGGGTTTAGGGTTTAGGGTTTAGGGGTTTAGGGTTTAGGGGTTTAGGGTTTAGGGTTTTAGGGATTTAGGGTTTTGGGTTTAGGGTTTAGGGTTTTGGGGGCTTCCTTGTTGTAACTATGGTATACTCTGCCCCAACCCCATCCGAATTATGGAGGCCCCTACATGGGAGGTTGTCAAAATAAGGGTCCCTTTGTGGGTCCCTAATATAGCACGGCACCTACTATATAGGGTACCCAAAAAGGGACCATAATTTTGAGAACTACCCACATGAAAACGTAAGTCCTCACCTATGGGTCTTCGGTTCTGGGTTCGAAGCTCTCAAAGGGGAAAAGGAGGGACCCTTAGTGGGGACCCCTACCCTACAATGGGCTATATGATGGGTATATCATAGCTATATTAAGGGTATATGCCTAGGGGTCCTTATTAAGGGTCCCTCCTTTACCCTTGGAAGCTCGGGGTTCGCCGTGTGCGCAGGCTATGTCTGGGCGGAGACTTGGGAGGACCGAGGGTGCCGCCCGGGCAGAGGATCACGGATTTGGAGTACCATACTTTCATACTTTTTTGGGACCTGGTTACTTCAAAGTCCAGTTTAAGGTTTATAGTGAACCCCAGAAAGTTGGAACATGGATTCTGGATTCAGGGTATGAGGACAATTATGTTCCAAGTTTCTGGCTTCTACTCTAGGCGTTTTTGAAATGGCCTACTGCTACCGAGACACTGAGCTAGCATGGAGAGTTGGCAGGATCGCTCACGATGGGACTTCCTGCCAGTCCTGTTCGATTGGGTATTAGAGTAATGTAGGAGGGTTTAAACCGGGTTTCACGATAGGGTCAGCTATCCCGACAATCTAACCTGAAACCTTTTTACTAGGACCTATAGAGTAGGCCCTTATTTCCTTTTATTAGGGTTCAGGTTCCCTTATAAGCCCCTTTGAACCCCAAAAGTGCACCCTTTTTATCCCCAGGCTGCTCTTGGGCCTAGACTCCAAAAGCTGTGTTATGAAGACTCTCACACTCAGAGTCCCAAAGCCCTTGGGCTTCCTATATCCTGAGCCCCAAAACAAAACAGCTTGATCACTAAACCCTAACCGTACCTGAACCTACCAAAGCCTACTTTTTTTTGCAGGGTCTCTATAAATTCCATATCAGGGTTTATAATGGGAACCTGCAAAAAAGTAGGGTTTGGTAGTTTACGGTAAGGCTTTCAACCCCAAAGAAGCCCCAAACCTCACCCTGAGCCTCAAGTCCCCAATCCCCCAGGGTTTAGGGTTTAGGGTCTAGGGTTTAGGGTTTAGGGGTTTGGGGGTTTAGGGGTTTAGGGGTTTAGGGTTCAGGGGTTTAGGGTTTTGGGTTTAGGGCTTAGGGTTTAGGGTTTAGGGTCGGTGACATGAGACACGTCCAACGAACCCGAACCGACAGCCAGAACCCCAAACCACACTTTAAAGAGCAACTAAAGAACGTCCTTTGAAGAAAAAGTCTAAACCCCTAAAGCCTAAACCCTAAACGCCTAACCCTAAACCCCATCCCTTTTAAGAAACAATGCTCTCAAGCCCTAAAGCCCTAAGCCGCAGGACCCAAGCAAGGCAGAGCCGGACTTCCCGGGAACCTACCACATCCTTCACGTCCTCGGCTTAGGACTTATATGGTCTTTGAGTTTATGGCTTCGTTTTTTGGTTTTATTTTTAAGGGCCTGGGCTTTAGGATCAAGGTTTTAGGGTCGAGGGTCTTATACATCTTTGCGATGATTGTCGACTAGACCTTAAACCCCAAACTCAGGGGTCAGGATGGCTCAGAGTCAAAATGGTATGCCTCTGCTTAGTAGTTGAGTGGATACACTTTACACTTTTAAAGGTGAATATTACCCATGATGAAACGGAAAGTGTACACTTTGGGTGGCCTATGAACTCAGCAACTAAGTCTGACAATGGACCCCTACACACAGAGACGCACAAAAACTAGGTAGAGCTTTGGGACATTTTATATTTTCCCTTATTGGGCTAAAGAGGATCTTATTTACTAATATTTTTCAAAGGCTTTAAAAGCCACACCTAGAAAAAGTGATCGTTGCAAGGCCCAGGAAGGTTCCCCCAACCCGAAACCCCCGGAAGAGTTTAGGGCCGTAGGGAGTTTGGGTTTCGGGTTCAGGGCTTAGGAATTTAGGGTTTAGGGCTTAATTAGAGGTTAGGGCTTAGGGACTACAGGGCCGAAGGGATGTTTAAAAAAATGGGGTTTAGGGCTTAATTAGGGGTTAGGGTTTAGGGGTTACAGGGCCTAAGAGAAATTAAAAAACAACAGGGTTTAGGGCTTAATCAGGGGGGGCTTGGGGATCACTGGGCCTAAGTAGGTTCCCACACATCTCATTGACTCTTAACTTACCTTTGGTTAGTAGGGAATGGAAGAATGGTAGTAATAGTAGTTATACATGTACCTTATTCCTCCATTCCCTACTAACCAAAGATAAGCAAAACCCTATACCCTTATAGATTCCCTATAGACCCCTTTAAAGGGACCCTATAATATTAACCAAAACGTAAGTTACGTGCCAGTCCGCCTCAGTCCTTGCAGTCTCCTGTGCTGAGCTGAGGATGGGGCGCACCTTCGACAGGACATGGGTAGACCCTACCTATGGCCTGGGTTCGGGATTCAGGTCTTGCCTATCGGGTTTACCTGTAGTCCATTGCAGTCCCTTTAAAGGGGTTTAGAGTCCTTTAAAGGGGTCTAAGGTTCCTTTAAGCGGGTTTAGGGGTTAGGGTTTAGGGTATAGTCTCCATTGCAGTTGCTTTTTTGGGGTTACTCTCTAAGACCCCGAATACAAGATTGGTTAAGCCAAAAGAAGGAACTACAATGGAGACTATAGGCGAACCCCTAAACCCTAAACAGTTCATCGTCTCTAATTGAGGAGCCAGGGTTTAGGGTTTCAGGTTCCCCTAAAAGGACTATATAATACGGGAGTTTCGAAACTAGGGGACCCTAATGTAGTACCCTAAATAGTAGGATCCTTATTATAAGGTAGTCGGACACAAGGTCATGGGCGACGAAGGTGGGACAGAAAGAACAGACAGGTGCTGCTTCAATCACTGGAAATTGGCGATGATCATGTCTAACGTGCTGGAAGTTGCATCAAGAGAGGAAAGCCACTGACTGTAGGTAGCTTCAGAGATGTCCTTTACAGACGTTCGGCAGCCAGACTTTAAGTTTCGCGGGTCAGAAGAGAAATTGATACTTTTGTGACAGCAAAAGCACCGAAAATCCATGGTCCAGCCACGCTAGACCACATGAGATCTCCGAGAATTACCCAGAGGCTGATCAGCAAAAAATTCAAGAATGGACTGCCTAAGCACCTTACAATGTTTTCTGGCAGCAACAAACCTCAGGCCAGGCTGAGCGATGAAGAAACGAATCTGCCAAATCCAATTTCACCCATTCAGACAGTGGTTTTGGGTGATGCACGAAATAGGGGTATCCCTTCGCACTCAGGATGATTGTGGCAATGCAAAACTTGAGAAACCCAAGGGGGAATCGTGGTTTAGTTTTTAGGATTGTTATGTTCTCTTGTGGGTGCCTATGGTCCTATTATACAAGTACGACTTGACACCTTCGTTTGTCAAAGGTGTGAATGTGTGGCTGAGGGTTCTGACGGATCCTCGACCCCTGCAGCCCTAAGCCCCAAAACCCTCAAGGACTTAAACCCCCAAATCCCTAACCGTTGGCCCTAGCCCTACACCCCTAAACCCCTGAGCCCTGTCGAGGACATCAGCCTTTCCTCGCCGCTAGTGACGGAGTTCACCGCAGGGCAAATGGTCAATGTCGTGGAAGTGGTCCTGGACCGCGAGGGTCTTGTAAGGAAAGGACGATGGGGTTCAGAATTTGTACTACTTTTCCTTCGGGGGCTTCCACGTCTGCGTCACCAGTATAGGCGACATTGAGACTTTCACGCGTACAGCTAGCTGTTTCCCCCTACTGTGAACAGGCGTTGTCGTTCAAGAATCGCTTTGACCGCTTTGATGAGGATCCAGTCGGTGATCGATCCCTTACATCACAGTACTTAGGTGATTCGGTGGATTACGGAATACGGGGCTATGGTTCTACTGTGGTATGCCCCGAACCCTCTCAGGCACTCTGCCGAGACGGAGAGTGCAGACTCTTGCTTGCTATCTCTCTAATATTCGATCGCGGGTCGTTTCCTCACCGTCTCCACTCTGCGGATTAGGGTTCAGGGTTTACCTTAATCCTGAATATCCTACCTTTTCAGGGTTCCTTGCTATGATTTCCTTACATAGCTCCTGAAAATGGCAGGTTATTCCGGGTTCAGGGTTTAGGATTTAGAACTTCGATCTGGGATCAGATCTGACGTCACTGTTTCTTGAGTTTGCGGCTTTAGGGGGTGAGACGTAGGAGCTGCCCGCCTGCACGTCCGCAAGTTGCGCTTCAGTCTGGACCCTAAACCCTAAACCCTAAATCGTGTTCAGTGTGTCACGCTAAGTGCCATATGTGACATCCCGGTTTTCGCTTTGTTGGTCGAGTCCTCGGGTTTGTTTCATACGAGGTCGATGCTTTCGCGGCCATCTGTGCAGCCAGGCCTCGCGTGGTCCGCGAGCAACCCGATTCGTCGAAATTCCACCTAGCGCCAAAATCACAATTGATCCCTCATAGAACCCTCATAATTAAATCCGGGCGAGCCCCTGCAAGAACCTCATAAGCCGTTACGAAGCCTTCTGCACCCGTGTGGCGCCTCATAAGCCCGAAAAGCCTCAAAAGAGCCAGGACTTTTGACGACGAAGACACGTGCAACCCCTATAAAACGGCCGATGATACACAGGCCACGACAGGCCTGAAAAATTACCCACATGTTTCCTTAGGGTTCCTGATTATACCTATAGTTGATACCTATACTAAAGCCCCATTCGAATTAACAAGCCCCCCTATTAATCAAGCTCCTTGAACGCCCAAGGCCCTAACCCACGAGAATGTCAGGATTTTTTCGACGAAGACCAGTATGCCTCTCGCAAGCGCGGCCGAGTGGAGCGGCATGCCTTCGAGATGATACGAGATGTTAGGTTTGGTTTAGGATTCAGGGCGGTTTAGGGGTTGGGGTTTCCAGGCAACCTGATCGTCCCTAACTTTGAAACATAGTATACCGCAAAGCCTTATGGTCAAGGTTTCAAGCATTCTAACCAAGCGCTCCCTCAACTCATATAAGGGGTCTATAAAGGTACCTACCCGAAGGGTTCAGGCCGTACAGGTTTGTGTCTGGGTTTTGGGTTTGAGGTCGAGGTTTCTTTCAAACTGTCGCATGTCTGCTTGTGTGCGGTATCTGAATTAAATACACCAGAGTATTCATACTGTAGGTGTAAATACACCATATTTGACAGCATATGATACGACAAGTATATTGATGTGTTTCTATATTTGTATATCTATATATACCGTATACCTACAAGAATATGTGTATTATCTGATATGAAAGGGTACAGTAACGTAAGATGCCGTCAGGTAGTGTTGCATAGTGCAATAAAAACGGATGTACGGTAGTGCCATGTAATGTCATGTACTGTGATGTCATGTAATGTAAGGTAATGTAATGCAGCCATGTCGTAATGCAATGTGCAGTGGCATGTAATACGGTGTAAGGATTTGCTTTAATGTGCTGCATCATAACATGTAGGGCTATACCATAATGAATCAGAGTATGATGTAAGCAACAGTATATCCCAATACAGTATAGTATAAAGCGTGTAGCGCAATACAATGTCGTGTAATGTGGTATAGTCAATCGTAACGTATACCTTAGTAAAGTGCAAGTTTATGTACATAATGTCTTGTAATACAACATGATACAAGGCAGTACAGTCTAGCATATATAGTATAAAGCACGGTATTGAGTATAGGGTGTTGAGCGTAGAGTGTAGTATGTAGTATACATTGTAGTATGCAACAAGTAGCGTGTAGTGTGTAGTATGTGGTATGTAGTGTAGTTTTGTTGGATGAAGCGTAAATATGACATACTTTTGTATAGTCTTTTTTGCAGCACCCTTAAGCCCTGAACAATTGAACCCAAGAACCCGATCCCCGTAGTCCCAAAGCTCACAGCCCAAGGAGTCTTGTTAGTATTGTCATTAGTGTTTCTGTTCTTATTACTGTTATGGTTTTTTGTTGTTATTTCTTTCATGACCCTGATCCCTCATCGCCCAGGAATCCGGCCGGGTGGATCTCACTCGTCGATCGGGATTCCGGCTACCGCTTTGCTGAGCGTTTGGTCGCTGGGCTGCAGATTGGGGGGCTGAGACTTTTGGATGTAGGGTTTGGGGCGTACGCTTCAGGAGTTCGGCTGTCGGAAGGGTTTCGGTACGGTACGAGAGTGAGTTTACCTGCAACATCATAACTTTGCGTAGCTGCTCCTTTGAGCTTTACAGGCATAATTCTGTCCTCCTGCACTTCTTCAGACCTAGTAACGTTTCCGAGCCCAATTTGAAGTGTTGCATTGAATAGATTTAAGGTACCTTACAAGCCCAATAGTAGAACCGATGGATTGAATTATTGTGTTATGCATGCTTTGTACGGTTTGCCTCGGGTTTGTCGCTGTCGGTACTGACCTTCTGATTGAATGTGAGCCCTAAAACCTGAACGCCCATGGAGGGTCACTTGAATCGGTCAGTTCAAAGATGGCATGCTCGCCTGAGGCGAACCCTGTACCGTCGGGAATGTATGTGACGTGGCTGCACGACGAAGCATGGACCAGCTGCCGGCAAGCCTGCTGAACCCTGAAGACACCTTAACTTCAGTCCCACGCTGAGTCGATGAGCTTTAACTTTAAATCCTAAGACTCTACCCGCAGGCTCTAAAGTAGTTCCTTTTTGGGAATACCTTATAGTATATAGTATTCTGAATGGAACTACTTTGGAGCCTCTAGGTAACCCCAAGCCTTGAATGTTTTACCCGAAGTGCTAAGCCGCTCAGCAGGTGATGAAGGCGGACGCTGCAGCGGTCACCGAACCCGGAGGAACAGAGGTGGTAAGCCACCTACACGCAGGGACCCCGGTTTGGCTTCATTGACCCTGCCTAGATTCGGATCTCTTACACTAAACCGCTAAACACTTAACCCCCTGAACCCTAAGCCCCTAAACCCTGAACCCTAGACACTAAACCCTTAAACGCTTAAGCCCTAAACCCTAAACCGTTTGGTGGCCCCCAATGCCCTGAGGCGGCAGACTCGGTGCAGGTGGTAAACTTCAAGCAAGTGGCCGCAAGCCAAGCTTTTTTCTCAGAAATCTGAACAAGAAGTAGCAGCGTTCCTTAGGATTCCTTCTACTATCTATTCTATACAAATTTACCCCCCAAAACTTTGTTTAAGTCGTCGAGTATATCACCAGTGCAGCAGCGATATGATCTCCGCCTTTGGGTCTTGCCGAAAATCGGAAGCGGACCGAAATGTACATTCCAAATCTAAGCCCCGCACTCCTAAGCCCTTGACCGTAGCTTCCCCTAGGGGTCCATGTATCCAGATATGGTATATACATTGGCCCCAAAGTACCTGTTTAGGGACCACTTGAAGGCCAAAGTATATACTATTTGGGTACCTGGACCCTTAGGGTTCGCTTTGCAGTTATACAGACATTTCTTAGCTCCGCGCGCTGCAGCTCGTCTTGATGTTGTCACTCAGGATGGGCAAGTCTGGGCTCAATCAGTTGTTGGAGGCAGGGGCTTAGGGATTTCGGGCATCTCGGTTTGGGGGGCCAGGGGCGAGGGCTTCTTTTTTGTTGCGTGGTGGCTGTGCGTTCTTGCCATGTGACATCATGTGACTACGAACTTCCATGAGACTGTGTCTGCTGACCTTTGCCTTGGCAATGCAACTATGCTAAACTCCAATTCCTTGTCATAGTTGGGCAACATGTTACATGTTTATGGGTACTTAAACCCAATATGGAATATCAACGTACATTTTTAATATTATCCACAATATGAACTAGAATCCCTAAAATCAGACTTCGACGCCAAAACCTACTTAAACCCTTGTGCCTAAACCCTAGACGATCAGCTTCAAACCGTGAACTCCCTTGTCACATTGTCAAGGCCAGCCCCCAAGGCCCTGAACTCCTTTTGCACCTCTGAGCTACACCCGCCCTGAGAACTGAACCCTGCCCTGAACGCCTCTAGACTCAGTGCGTATAGAAGGACTTGATAGGCAAGGGCCTATATATGGAAGCCATGACAGGGATGATCCTCTTGTCGACATAGCTATCACCATCGTTGTTATGACCATTATTATCATCATCGCCATGGTTAGGATGACTATATTGTGAAACCACCCCCCTCCCTCAAAAAAAAGAAAACAACAAGAAAATAACAACATAAACAAACACAGGGAACCATCCTCGCCAGGATGGCTAGTGTTGGCTGATGCAGAGTACCGGCTCCTCCGATGCACATGTGATCACTGCAGGGGCCGAAACCCCATTACCGGGGTGTGCATCTTTATGTATGCAAAATATCTGTACAGTATGTGTTGATATACATATACGCGTACATATATACACTCGTATATATATATATATATATATGTACATGTGCAATTACATGCACACACATAATATGGAGTTTATACATAATGTATGCATATACCTGTTCTAGCCATTCAGCCTTACATATCATCCTACGCATTGCACCCGAAACCATCGTGGCTAGACTCTCTAGGAACTCTAACGTTTGGAAGGTCGGTTTTACGGTCGGAGGCTTAAAAACCCCTAGCACTCTACCCAGAAGAACCAAAGGTAGTAGGGGTTTAGGCTTCAGGGTTCGAAAGTGGGGCTTCAAAACCCTTAGCACTACACCCTGAAGAAACCAAAGGTAGGGTAGGGGTTTAGGGTTGTGGGGAATGTCAACAACGTCACGGAGCCCCAATCCCGCCCCCTGGGACCCTGATTTCATGTAAACCCAAAGCCTTAAGCCCCTAAACCTTAAGCCCTAAACCCTGAGCCCTCAACTCTGAACCATAAAGCCTAAATCTTAAGCCCTTAAACCTATTAAACCTAGACCCCTATAGCCTTAAACCCTAAACCTTAAGCCCTCGAAAACTCTAAACCCTAAACTAGAGCCTTAAACCCTAAACCTTAAGACCTTATAAACTCTACAAACCCTAAACTGAGAAAGCGAGGCCGGATCTGCCTATTGCGACCAGCCCGGAGGAGGATGGCGCTGACAAAACTCGGCTTGAGGGTTTACCTAGACTAAACCATAAGGGTCCCTTTAAAGGGATCTATAAGGGCTCCTATAAGGGATCTTTAGGGTTTAGGGTATAGGGTATGGTACCTAGAGTCTCCAATGTAGTTCCTTTTTTTGGTTTAGCCAAGTATATATTAAGGATCCTAGAAGGTAACCCCAAAAAGGAACTACAATGGAGACTATAGGTAGGGTTAAGGATTCAAGGGTTTTGGGTTGACGGATTAGGGTTTAGGGTTTAGGAGTTTAAGGTTTTGGGGTTTAGGGTTTAGGGTTAAGGATTCAAGGGTTTTGGGTTGAGGGATTAGGGTTTAGGGTTTAGGAGTTTAGGGTTTTGGGGTTTAGGGTTTAGGGTCAAGGATTCAAGGGTTCTGGGGTTTACGGTCAAGGATTTAGGGCTTTTGGGATTTCGCGCTGACTGGCACTGTCGACAATTCCCTAAACTCTAAACCTTACACCCTGGGCGAGAATGTGGGCAGTATCGTGTCTCAGCCCTGGCAGCTGGTCTCTTGGTCTGTGTCGCTCCCCAATCCCGACTGGAGTACTGCCAGCCTACTCCCCCGTGATCAAAGCTTCTGCACAGGCGAAGATGCCGCGAGATGCACCGAAATGGGTTCCCGAGCTTGAAGGATTTGGTGTTTAGGGTTTTGGGTAGAGGACCCCGAATATAGGGGCTTGAATATGGTCACCAAAGCTACTTCCTCTAGGGTTCTTATTTTAATGTGTGAGTCGATGTGGGGGTTCATGGTTCAAGGGGCTCCATCTCCAGAACAGCAAGTAATATACGGTTTAGGGTTTAGGGTTTCATGATCGTTCCGTCGCAGGTTTCGCGCAGAGGTTTGCATGATGCAACATCAGCGCAGGACAGAAGAAGATAATCAACCTAGTGGACCCTCAAGAACCTGCCTTTTTTTTCGGCCTTGTATAAGGAAATTATTTTCATAACCCTAAGCAGGTAGGTTGTTGGTTGTGGAGCGAGAACTGTGTTCCCTTGCTGCTTCTTGTGTGCAAGCATAATCGGGCCCTGCAGGGAGGTATCAGGGGGACCCTTAGGGGGGTAGGGGGGAGGGGGTCAGGGGACTATACTGCCAGAAATAGGCTTATTACAGGTCTTATATAGGGGACTATACTGCCAGAAATGGGCCTCGCAAGTCCTTATAACAGGTCTCAAGGCCCCCCCTCCCCCTTACCCCGCTAAGGGTGCCTATGAATCAAAGGGGAAAAGGAGGGACCCTTAATGGGGACCCCTACCCTATAATGGGCTATACAATGGGTATATTATATAATAGCTATATTAAGGGTATATAATAGCTATATTAAGGGTATATAATAGATATATTAAGGGTATATAATAGCTATATTAAGGGTATATACCTAGGGGTCCTTATTAAGGGTCCCTCCTTTTACCCTTGGAATGAAGGTAAGGTCTGGTAGGCTTCTGGTCTGACCAAGTCATCCGTCGAAGACTTTCGGCTGGGGCGGCTTCCGAATTTAAGCCCTACCTATAGTCTCCGTTGTAGTTCCTTTGTTGGTGTACCTTCTAGGATCCTACTATATAATCGGTTAAACCAAGAAAGGAACTACAATGGAGACTATAGGTAAACCCGGTGTGAAGTCTCACTGCACGAGCAAAAAGCACTAAACTCTGCCCGATGGGATTCTTCTAGAGTAGCCCCATACAGTCGGACCCCAGACCTTAGCGTAGGGCTTCCTTTACACTATACCTATGAACACGGAAGCCCAAACGTTGAGCCCCTCCATAGAGAGCTCGGGATAGTTATGCTAATGCTATGCGGGGTGATTCCCGAAATCGGGGACCTTAATATAGTACCCTGAGAAGTAGGATCCTTTAAAAAAGGTGCCAAAACAAGGTACCCCTTATTTCCGGAGAATCCCATGCTACGCTAAACCTTTGACTGGCCCAGATCTTAAGGCCTTCTTGCAGAACGGCTAAAAAGCCCTCTTCGAATTAATTAGGCCACCTCTACTACCCCCCAAAGGTACCCTACAGGAACCCTTAGAAGAGACCTCCCTGAAAGAACCCTTAAGACGAATCTTAAAGGGAACCCCCTTAAAGGGTTCCTTTGTATAGAGGCTTCGCCTTTAAAGGGTTCCTTTAGAGGGTTCCTCTATAAGGTTCCTTTTAGAAGCTTCCTTTTAAAGGGTTCCTTTAAAGGGCTCCTTTTAAAGGGTTCCTTTAAAGGGCTCCTTTAGAGGGTTCCTTTTAAAGGGCTCCTTTAGAGTGTTCCTCTGAAGACTTCCTTTAGACGGTTCCTTGAAAGGGTTCCTTTAACTTAGGGGTACTTAGAAATAATTTTTAATCTTTGGTCATTATAATCCCTAAGAAACAGCTAAAATTATGAGTATTGCTAGGGTTCTAAGTTCAGTATAGTCATAGGGATCCTTAGGGGTGTAGGGGGAGGGGGGGTAGGGGGCCTTAAGGCCCATAATAAGGACTAATAAGGCCTATTTAGGGAAATATAGTCCCCTACACCCCTCCCCCCTACACCCCTAAGGATCCCTATGATAAGTTCAGTATAGTTAAGAGGAGACATAAGCTTCGAGCCCCAGGTTGCTGATGGTTTGCTCTGCCATCTCCAGCGCCAGCATCGGAATATGCTGCGCATCACAGAGCTCTTCGGCTTTCTAGTCAGGGTTCGGAGTTCATGGTTTAGGGGTTTAGGGGTTAGGGCGGCTAGGGTTTAGGAATTGGGGTTTAGAGTTTAGGGAGTAGGGTTTAGGGGTTTCGGGATTAGGGTTTAGGATTAGAGGTTAGGACTCCTTTACTTGATCAAGGGAGCTCCTCGAGACAATCTTCAAAAGCCTAGTAGTAGAGTAGGGAACCTTTGACTTCTTTTGGGGTAGTGTAGTCCCTATATAATCCCTATATAACCAAGAAGGTTATCCGGTTATCCTATAGTTCCCCGTGATACCCGACAAGTAGCAAGGCTCTATAGGCTGTTTTGGACTGAAGGTTGGGGGCTTTGGTTTTTGGTGCCAGGTGTGGGATTTACGGTCCAGGGTTGGTATTATGGTTTAGGGTTTAGGTTTTTGTTTATTCTTTGCTTTGTGGCTTTATGGTTTAGAGCTCAGGGTTTGAGGTTCAGTGCATCGGGTCGTTAAGGACATACTTCCTGAGCCCCGAGACAGCCCGTCGAGGCCATCCGCAAAGTAGTGGTCGGGATAAGAAAAGAGTTTCACCCTCAAGCTCATACTCAATTGTGTTATCACATATTCAGATACCCCAACAACCCTGTTAAAATTATTCAGGGCCCTTGCCAAGCCCTCAACAATCCTAAGCCCCGCAGTTTCGAGCCCTTCTTCTAGAACCCTGACAGGGGATCCCTTTTCCGATTAGTCATCCCTAAAACCATTAACCTCACACGCCTAACCCTGAGCCTCCCCATTTTCATTCCATATTTCTATCACACTAATGATTGCGACATTACTCATAATGTAGGAATAATAGCAGCATTATTGTAACAATGATAGTATAGCAAGATGAAGCAGTTTATTCACCATGAACAGCGGGAATAGGAATAGCCATGCGTAAAACCACTAATAGCAATATCAATAGTGACAATACGATTTATTAACAGCACTCATGCTCGCAAAAAAAAAATAGTACGCACAATAATTATAGTAACAACAAAGTGAAACGTTAATCTTAACAATAGCAGCCATCATATCAATAGTAATATTCATATGAGCAACACACAACAATCATGCTACCGTGTCTCAGGCATTTCCCTAAAACGAAGCCCAAAACCTTGAACCCTAAACCTTCAAACTCGAAACCCTCTATTTTCCCTATGGCGGTTTAGGGCTTTAGTTTCTTTACGTTCAGGCATTTCCAAGCCTAAACCCTCACTCCTTCCTATGGCAGGCTTCAGTTTCAGGCATATCCAAGACCCTAAACCCCTAAACCCCCTAACCCCCCAACCCCCCTAAACCCCTTAAAACCACTAGAAACCCTTAACCCTCAATCCTAAACCCTAAACCCTAAACCCCTACCCCCCAAAACCCTAAACCCGGCTTGAGTCTCAGGCATTTCCAAGACATCCAGCAGGGCTTCGAGAAGCTGGGACTGGAGCTCGAACCGGCGCCTCTGCGGGGTTTAGGGTTTGGGGCTTCAGGGTTTAGGGTTTTGGGCTTAGGCTTTAGGGTTTAGGGCTTTAGGGTTCAGGGTTTGGGGTTTAAAGGGGTTTAGGGATTAGGGTTTTGGGGAGTGTTCTTCTTAAGGAATTCAAAATAAGGGTTCCTTTAAGGGCTCTAGCAGGGTTCTTGTCAAGAAGTTTTAAGGGGTCAAGGGCTCCTTTAAGGTATCTATAAGGGTTCCTTCAAGGGTTCTAGACGCCTTAAACCCTTGTAGTATAGTACCTCACTATAGATCCCTTCGGGTAGCCCTTATAGAACCCTGTAAAGGAGCCCCATAACCCTACACCTTGAACCCTAAGCCCTCAAGCCCTAAACCCTAAACCCTTCACGCCAAGGCCCTAAACCCTAACCCCTAAAGCCTTAAAACCCTAAACCCTAAAGCCCCAAGCCCTAAAGCCCCAAACCCTATACCCTAAACCTTAAGCCCTATACCCTAAAACCCTAAACCCTAAAGCCCCAAGCCCTAAAGCCCTAAAGCCCTAAGCCCTAAAGCCCTAAAGCCCTAAAGCCCTAAAGCCCCAAGCCCTAAAGCCCTAAACTCCACGTAGGTGCTGGAGATCGCCGAGCCGGAAGCCCCCATGTTCGACCAAATGCTGCAGCCGGCGCGGTTTGCGCAGTCGAACCCAGGCTTGGAAGGGGCTGTGGGCCTTCTCTCAAAGTTTTCCCACAATCATATATATATATATATACACATATAATATCGTATATATGTATGTATATATATATATATATGTATATCGATATATAGATGTGTATATGTGTGTTTGTGCAGATGTACAGGATTATGTATATGTGTGTGTTCATACACATATGTAGATCACATGCGTGCGTATGTACATGTGCGTAGAAAAATAAAGATAGTTATCTGCAAAGGGAGAGAGAGAGAGAGAGAGAGAGAGAGAGAGAGAGAGCTTGCTACATGTCATCATTGCTGCTGTATTTATTGCTGTGATCACGTTAACCTCGGCTTTATTAGGAGTCCCGTGTGTTTTGTGGTTCTGCTTGTGCGTATTAGCAGTGTCTGCTGTTGTTAGGAAGCGCCTAGCACTGGATACAATTATATAGGATGTGCATAGTTTTTGGATGAACGTTTCTGAACAAACCCACAATATTCGCCCCTGTCAGACCGTGTGGCGGTGCGCCGGGAAAAACCTGCGGTGAATCTGCCGCGCCCGAGTCTCTTGGCTGCAGTTCGTGCTCAGAGAGACCTCCAAACTTCGAAGCTCCTTTATCTGTCTGGTGCTTAGTCGGGAATGGGGGATTGGATCTCCAAAATAGCCCCCATACCATCCCCAATAAAAACCACCATAACGCATTCCCCCATTCCCTACTGAGAACCAGACAGCTGTTACAGGAATCTTGTTTTCGGGTTGCACTGGGTATCAAAGGGGAAAAGGAGGGACCCTTAATGGGAAGCCCTACCCCATAATGGGCTATATAATGGGTATATATAATAGCTACATTAAGGGTATATACCTAGGGGTCCTTATTAAGGGTCCCTCCTTTTACCCTTGGATTTGCACTGAAAGGGTGCTCCTGTATTTCGGGTTAAAACCCCACCAGCACAGTGTGGGTTACCGACTTATGGGTGCGATCGGGGATGGGTTGTATGTTTTTGGGAGCATACCCCTGCTTCGTAAGTATCTTGGCTTTGACGAGTGGAGAATTGAGTGATAAGGAGGCTTGAAAACCTGACAATTAACTCCACTTATCATAGATAGTGAACGGGGGAACTTTAAGCTATTTGGCCTTATGTATTAGCGAAAGTTTGAACTTTTTGGGGCCCGGCTGTTGAAGAAGAGAGTTATAGTTCTACAGCTATACCATCATCTGCTCCAGCATCTTGTTCTCAGTATTCAACCCGCTATAGTATGCTTGCCTGTTCCTAGCCTTTGGCTTTGTCTGCAAACCGGCTGAGCAGAGTGCATGAAAGCTGACGCTGCCTGCACCACCAGGTGCTACAATGACATCGCAGGCAGGGCTGCATAGGTTTTTTGAGTTGATGGGCACTCATGAACGACCCTAAACCATACACCGTAAACCCTGCACGCCTCATCGACTGTAAGCCTTGCACCGCCAGTGAGATGCCGGAGGAAAGACGGGATCGGCAAGACAGAGAACCAAACAGGACGTTAAGCAAGCCCCAGAAAAATTGAAACCCGAAGGTCTAAAACCTGAACCGGAACCCCCAACCCGTTATCTGCTACAGCACGTCAATACCTCTTGCCATCCAATGCCACTGGTATGCTGTAGACTCTACAAGCCTTATGCAGACTCTGGCATGCATCTTCTGCAGCACCTTAATTTTAGGCTGCCTGGCACCAGCACCACCCAAAACTCTAATCGAAAACCCTGATTCGGGTGAGCCCAGAGACTCCAATATCCCTCCCTTTAATTTGAGTCTCTGGAGAGTTTGGGCTTGAGGACTTCGGGTGCACCAAAGCTTCAAAACCTCACTAATACCATAGTCTCCCTAGAATTTTTTTGATTATAAAAAAGTCAAGAGAATATCAATCTAAGAGGGGCATAGCCTTGGGGAGCCCTTGCGGTGGGAACCTCTCAAGCAAAACGTTTCTTTAGAAATTTCACACACGCCAAATGCAAAGGAGCGCCTTACTGCAGGACCTGTCTCTTGCAAAAACTGACGAGTAATGCTCAAAATGGTCCCCGGACTCTGAAGAGCTAGACAACTCCATTATCCTTGAGCCCTAAACCCGAGACCCTAAAGCCTAAATTCTCGCCTACAGCACCTGTGCGAGGCTCTCTAGAGCCTAAAGGCATGAAATGGTTTAGGGGCTTAGGGTTTAGGCTGTACAAAATTACGTAATCCTGCCAAAAAAGCTGGCGTGTCCCACTCCTTCTAAACCAAAGAAGCCGCTTGGAGGCTTTGAAGAGCCCCAAAACCCCTGAACCCTGAACCTTACACCCCAGAACCCTTATCATGGAACCCTATTACAAAAAAAGCAGACAAAGCCTAAGCACTAAACCCTACTTGGAGGCCCAGGGGACTTGGTAAGTAGGTTATAAGTAGGGTAATAATTGGGGTAACTCCATTTAGGTTACTTATAAACCTGCTTATAACCTACTTACGAAGTCCCTGGGCCTCCAAGTAGATCCAGACCCACGAACATCCCTTGCGGAGGCTCTGAAGAGTCGGCTCAATCACTTCTTAACGTCCATCTGAGCGCTGAAGAACCCGTCGGAGAGCCCACGCCCCGGAGACGCACCAAAGCTTGTGTAAGTAACCCTAAGGGTCCATGTACTCATATAGTATATACATTGGCCTTAATGTAGTCCCTATATAGGCACTTTGGATCCCATGTATCTCTATATGGGTACATGGACCCTTAGGGTAAAGGATTTATATGGCCTCATTGGATTCAGGGTTGTGTTATATGGATGACTACCAACCCTAAACCTAAGCCCCTTAAACCCAAACCCCCCTGAACAAAGCTCTATCTCGGATCCCTTAAAGGAGCCCTCATAGGATCCCTGAAAGGAGCCCTTCCAGTTCCCCTAAGCCCAAGAAACCCTAAACCCCCTAAAGGAAGCGCTTTATAGGAGTCCTACTTCCTCGTTATTTTGGAGTCAGAGAGTGCCCGTTAAACGGGACCTCATTATCGAGCCCTATATAAAAGGAGCCCTTACTATGAGTCCTAGTTCCCCTGAACCCTGAACCCTTAAAGGAACCCTCACGGGATTAAAAGAGCCGTTGCTATGAGTCCTAGTTCCCTTAAAGCCTAAACCCCAAACCCTAAGGAACCCTTTCCGGAACCCTTAAAGGAACCCTTAAAATAAAGGAACCCTTACGGGAAGCCTGAAAGGAGCCCTTACTAGAAGTCCTACTTTCGTTCGGTTTTTTGGAGTCTCCGGGCGGGCTTGGAGAGGCCAGGCATGGGGCCTAGGACCGATCTGAAGCCCGGGACCAGAAGCAGAGATTCAGGATTAGAGCTAGGATTTGGGGGTTAAGGACTTTGGGGGGTTTAGGATTTAGAGGTTTGGGACTTTAGGCCTTAGGGCTTCAGGGTTGTAGGGTTTAAGTTTAGGAGGTTTGGGAGGGGCTTATTTCGAGGTTTGTTGGGTGTTTAGGAGTTTAGGGGTTCCCGCTCGGACAAATTTGCGAGCCGCTGAGCGGCATCGCCCTGAAACGTGAAAGCCTTCCAAAGCGGGAGGATCGTTTTCGCAGGACTGCAGAATGAAAGAAAGAAAGTATGAATGGGCACCCATCGTGCAAGCTGTGCATTCTCTAGTGCACAAGCCCAGACAAGACGTTCAGAGTATGCTGTAGGCTGTAGTGAACCTCTGTCAAAGTAGGGAAGAGGATGTGCCGGAGTTCAATACAATCGCAAATACTGCATAATACATAGACCTTCATAGACATATGACATGTGCATATATACACAAATACACGTGCGTGTGTGTGTGTGTATATATATTTATATAAACAGTTCAACATATGCAGACATTCATACGACTATGAAGAACAAGAGTCAACATTTTTATGCATGTATATATATATACACCATACATGCAAGTGTGAATGTATGATCTGTCTGTCTGTACGTACGTACATCTGTCTGCATGTATGCGTTTACCTTTTGTGTAGACGCATGCGGGTACATAGTTTCTCGCTATAGTTGTAGGTTATTCATACACATAGTTGTATATATATATATATATATATATATATATATATATATATACAGACACATACACATATATACGTCTGTGTGTGTATATATATATATACATATATATATATATATATACATACATAAATGGGTTCATACAAAGGCGATGTATCGCCTGAAAACGTCGGCTTTCCTGGCCGACGGGGCGAGCATCTTCCTGCAATCCTCCCTGCCAGAAGAATCTCGTTTGGTTCACACTACAATCGAGGATCCGCCGCGCATCCAGAGCCGAGAGGTTGTTGGTTTAGGGGACTACACCCTGAAACCCTAAAGCCCTATAAAGCCCTATACAGTCTTGAATCCCTGTAGGGGTTTAGGGTTAGGGTTTAGGGTTTAGGTTTCGCCATATTCCTCAACATATCTGCCATCCCTTGGAGACCTTGGACTGTGTATTTGACGACTTTCTGGTTCCTTTCCCCAAAAGCCCAGATATCCACATCGTAATGCAGGGACTTCAATAATTAGAATAGGGTTTTGGGGGTAGGTGGCAGTATAGTAGAAGCCCAAAAGTTGGAAGCCCAACAGCTTCAATCCTTAAGAGTCATGTGTAGGGAATCCCAGTACTATTTGGCCTTAATCCGGTTTCCAACTTTATGGGGTTTACTGTATGTGTTAAGGAGGAGCCCTTCAGAGAAATTGTGATTCATTCTGGCTTCTATGTAGTGGGTCACCATAAGTTGAACGATAAAACAGCAGAAACTGGATAGGCTCCGCAAGAACCCAGAGACTTATCTAGGGTGCTCTAGAGCCACAAATGCTTGGATGCTAATGTCGGAGCAATAGAACACCCTTAATCAGATCTACATACCTATATCTATATCAATAACGCCAGGCTACTCCATAGTTTGTTGGTTTTCCAGCACTGGCTGTGGGGTCCGGATCCAGAGGAGGCAGTAACGAACACCAGGCCTCCAGAAGTTTCGTGGGCCAGCAATCAGGACCCCACCCCACTGGCGCTATTAGGGTCTAGTTAGGGTTTAATTAAGTTTTGGTTAGGGTTTAGGGTTAGAGCTTGGGTGCCAATGGTTGTCCAGGACCCCCCAATGGTCCTTCAAATGGAGCGTTTATTATGCTCCTTAATACTAGTAGTGCGTATTTAGGGTATGTTCGAGGGCAGTTGGGGGGTGTGTTGTTTAGGATCTGTGGTGCAGGGTTTTTGATGCCGGGTAGGGTTTTGGGTTTGAGGGTTTATGACTTGTGTTGTGTGGTGTGAGATTTAGGTTTGAGGTGCAGGGTCTATGGTTCTTGTGACACTCTGGCCTGTCGTCAACAGCCTCAGTGGGAGACTTAGCAGCAGTCCTAGACGTCCTTGTCGCTGTCACAGTGGTTGTGCTTGTCCTGCTGCGGTAGCGGTAGAGATACAGCAGATATGATGGTGCTCTGTTCTTGGTCGTTGTTGTTGCCGTGGTCGTTGTCGTCGTGGCGGTTGTTATGGTTGTTGTCGGTGTGATGTCTGTTCGTTCGTTGTCGGTTGGGTACGGCCCCCACTCAGTAATAGTTGAATAATCTTCAGAATCTAGACATATTAGGACCTTAATCGTAGCCCTATTATAGACTGTTACTGTACGGGGGCAGTACCTAAGTCGTCGGCGTGAAAAGCGCAATGCTTGTGTTTAGTGTGGTCAGATAGGCGTCGTCCTCGATCCCAGCAGCCCAGCAGAATTAGCACCCCCGAGCCCTACACCTTCAGCTGGAACCTAAAGCCCTAAAACCGTAAACCCTAAAGTACCGCTGAAGCCCTAGAGCCTTAATTGAGCCCCAAACCCTAAAACCTTAAACCCCTGAAGCCGTAAATCCTAAACTAAACTAGTTAGTATTCTTGGACATGTGAAGGGCCCAGTTCGAACCTTCGTGGGCCCGTGCAGGCAGGAGAGTTCAAGCTTTTCTGCCAGCCGTTTAGCACGTTTCATGGAACTGGGAACTGTCGCCATCCGCCGGAGAAAACCTGCGACGATCGATGCCCTTAGGGAATTGTCGAGGTTCGGTTTGTCCGGCATCGAGCTGCTTGGGTTTGGGATTTAGGGTTTAAAGGCTTAGTGTTTGGGGAGTTCGTCGTTCCTGCTTATCAGTGTGTTGGATGACAGCAATACAGAGACTGTAATCAGTCGTAATGCAATCCAGACTAGATGGCTCTGGAAGCCTCGAAGCTTTGTTTCTGCAGATGTTTCACGTGAGAATCTGGTCTAAAGTGAGCGCCGCTCCGGTCCATCGGACTCCACTTGCTGCTGGGTTTCGGTCCGCGCGTGTGTGTGCCCCTGCATGTTTGGTCTTACAATCTGTCTATCTACCTACTTGCCTATACTTTCTCCATCTACCTTGCTGCCTACCGCCAGATAGCTGGCTGCCTACCTAGCCATCCATCTGTCTATCTACCTATCCATCTACCTCTCGACTTGTCGGTTTGTATGTTATGTTTTATAGATCATTGAAGATGCCCCTTAAGCCCTAAACAGCCTAAACCCCTTTTCAACCCTAGACCCAAAGCTCCCAAACCCTAAACCCGCTAGACCCTAAACCCTCAGCGCCCGAAAATCCCAAACGCCTATACCCTAACCCCCTAATCCCTAAACCCTAAACCCTAAGACCTAAACCCTATGACCTTCAGCCTAACTCGCCCACCTACGCCTAAACCGGAGGCAGCGGTCCCCTTGTCTTCAGTGGCGATTGGACTGCACTCTCCTCGGCCTTTTTTGGGTATTTGAGACGAAAGAGATATTATTGCAATTAGGGTGAGGGATATTCTTGTAATTACTTAGGCAATTAGGGTGTGCAGGCGTAGAAAGAGATATTATTGCAATTAGGGTGAGGGATATTATTGTAATTACTTAGGCAATTAGGGTGTACAGGCGTAGAGGGCTTCTTATAGGGTTTAGGTGGTAGTTGAGAAGAAAGAGATGTGTTGACTTGGTCATTTAAAGGTGTGTGGGGCTTCTTAAGGGCTTCAGAAGTGTAGTGTGGGTCATTATGTTTCTAGCGGCGTTGTAAGGGGGCTTAATGCCGGTTTTTGTATGAATTTAAGCTCAGGGCGTCGAGCCCTTGCATATAACCCTAAACGTTAAACCCTAAACCCTAAATAGGACGACCGATACCAGTGCTGCTTAAGGGCGCAGGTCCTGGAAAGCTAAATCCTGAATCCTTCCTATAGTCTCCATCGTGGTTCCTTTTTTTGGTTTAAGCAATTCTATATTAAGGATCCTAAAAGGCAACCCCAAAAAGGAACTACAATGGAGGCTACAGGTAAGCCCGAGTGTACAACCTCAAAGCTGATGCATGCAACCCTTTTGAGGCAGACGGTTTAGGGGTTTAGGGTTTAGGGGTTAGGGGCTTAGGGTTTAGGGGTTTAGGGTTTAGGGGTTTAGGGGTTAGGGTTACCAACCAATCATAGGAGGCCAAAAGGGGTTTTCGCCTATGGGGGTTTAGTAGAGATTGGGGTTCCCATACTAGGGTTCATATTAAGGAATCCCTACCCCAAGAATCTTAAGCCCCCTTTTGG